CCGATAAGGGTTTAATCTCCAACATTTACAGGGAACTCATACAACTTAACAAAAGGAAGATAAACAATCCAATCAAAAAATGGGCAAAGGACCTAAATAGATACTTTTCGAAAGAAGACATTCAGAAAGCCAAGAGACATATGAAAATATGCTCAAAGTCACTAATCATCGGAGAGATGCAAATCAAAATGATAATGAGGTATCATCTCACACCTGTCAGAATGGCTATCATCATCATCAACAAATCAACAAACAAGTGCTGGAGAGGATTCGGAGAAAAGGGAACCCTCCTTCACTGCTGGTGGAAATGCAGACTGGTGCAGCCACTGTGGAAAACAGTATGGAGTTTCCTCAAAAAAGTAAAAATGGAACTCCCATTTGACCCAGTGATCCCACTTCTAGGAATATATCCCAAGAAACCAGAAACACCAATCTGAAAGGATATATGCACCCCTATGTTCATAGCAGCACAATTTACCATAGCTAAGATTTGGAAACAGCCTAAGTGCCCATCAGCAGATGAGTGGATTTGAAAACTGTGGTACATCTACACAGTGGAATACTATGCTGCTATAAAAAAGAAGGAATTCTTGCCATTTGCAACAGCATGGATGGAACTGGAGAGCATTATGCTAAGCGAAATAAGCCAGTAGGAGAAAGATAAATACCACATGATCTCACTCATTTGTGGGATATAATGAACAACATAAACTGATGAAGAAAAATAGATCCAAAGACAGAGAAGCATCCAACAGACTGTCAAACCTCAGAGGGAAGGTGAGGGCGAGAGGGGGAGGTGGTTAGAGATCAACCAAAGGACTTGTATGCATGCATTTAAGCATAACCATTGTACACAGACACTAGGGGTTGAAGGCATGTGCTGGGGTTGGAGGTGGCCCGGGAGAGGTCAATGGAGGGGAAAAGGAGACATATGTAATACTTTAAACAATTAAGAATTTTTAAAAATGAAACTATCTTCCTAAAAGTAATGAAAGCTAGACTACGACAATTTTGATTAGTCTCCAGTCACAGCATCACTTGGTCACAGTATAACGCACCTCACAGTCACAGCCAACCCTGGTTGTATTAAAGGGTCCACCCCCACCCCACTCACGGTCCCTGGAGCCTACCACGCAGACATATCGGGCACGCACAGGCACACACAACACATACTCTCTCTCTTACACACACAGACATGCACTCTCATAATTACATCCCAAGCTGACGCAGCCACATAATCATGCACCCCCGCCCGCCCCATCACCTTCCTCAGCAGGTGATTCACACAGGCCCGAGTCAGCTGCCTCTGCCTCCACCCGCACCCGCACCCGCACCCGCACCCGCACCCGGAAACCTCCGGGCCTCCTACGTCCTTCCGCAACCCCGACCCCGTGTCCCCTCCACTCACCACGCAGATCACGGTGACCGCAGGGCTGGCGTGAAGTGAGCAAGAAGTCGACGTCCATTAGCTCCCCCAGGGGCCTGTGAGAAACGTAGCCCAAGCCGGAAAAGCGCGGACGGAGACACAAGCCGACCTGCGCTGCAGCAGCTGGGATCTCGGGCTCCAGACGCGAGGCCCTGCGGGCTCCTGGGAACTCCGGCGCGCTCGGGAGTGCGCAGGCGCAGAGGACCGACCCTGGGCCGGGGTGAGGTGTTTGGGTCCTAGACGCGTGAGTCCTAGGGGCCCTGGAGAAGGAGAGACCGGGAAGCTCGGGGCCAGGAGGTCAGAGTAGGGAAGCGGGACCCAGTCCAGAGGCCAAGGAGGAAACCGCGATCAAAGCCGGTCCTGGTTATTCAGAGAAGGGAGCTGGAACTGGGTCCGCGGTAACTAGACACTCAGATCTCTGAGCGGGGCCTCGGGCGTGGTCCGTGGGCGTGACCGTGAGGGTGACAATCGCTTGTGATCTGGAACGAGCTCTGCGAGGGGGGATTGTGTCTGTTTGACTCTGAAGAAGCGCATGGCAGCGAAGAAGCCACACCGAAGGGGTGTGTGTGTGTGTGTGTGTGTGTGTGTACCGAACGAGGCGGCCTCCTGCCCCAGATCGCTGCATTTTGGGTGCGTGCTAGTTTGCGAGAAGTTAGGGAGGATTGTGTGTGAAAAGTGGACGGTGTAATGTTGCTACCTGGGGTTTCTTCTGCCTTTGTCTATTTCGAGATCAGGTGTGAGTCGTATTTGAGGCTGTAGGTGATGATGGAGAAGCGAAAGTGATTTGCAATATGATTTTGAGACTTTGCCTGGAATTATGTAATGAATGTGCTGCCCTAGGTTGTGATATATGGGGGCTATGGGATGCTGGTTTGCTGAGGTAAGTTTGATTGACTGTAAACTATGCATGTGTTTGTAAACCACTGTTATTTTTTGTGATGGAGAAACTCTGCATGATCCTGTCTAGTTGGGTATGTAAGATGTGATTATCTGAGTAGCGTTCATTAAATCTGCCTCCAAAATTGTAACTCAATAGCTATTTAGCAAATAAAATAGAGATATAAATATCGGAAAGTAAGAGGTAACAGTTTTATAATTCCTAGATGGTAAGATTCATTGCAGGGAAACACCATATGAACTAAAAGTAATGTGTTAAAATGAATAGTGTTCCATAATTAGTGCTTTCAACACTGATATCTCTGAGATTTCCTGCTTCTGAGTGAAAGTGATGACAAGGTTAATAGTTTCTTCGGGCATTCTAAAATAATAAAGAGTATTTGGTACACTTTTAATCACAAGGCCCATCTTGTTTTAGTAATTAAAATAGTTATTTTGTGAATTAAAATATTCACTGTATCAATCTATACTTCTGACTTTATTTAGCAAAATACTATCCTTTCTGCGTAGAAGCCTATAGAGTAGAAAGGTACATTTCTTTTCTATTTCCATACCTATACTACTAAAAAGTGTTGCTTACTATTAATATTTAAATTAGATATTAGGAAATTAATAATAAATATTTATTATTAATAACTGTGCTTATTACATAGTGTGAAACAGATGAATCAATAAAGAGATGAAGTAGAGAAATAGAAAGTCCAGATATTCTCAAGCAGATAGGGATATGGAATATATGATAGAGATGGCATTTCACATAAATTGAGAAAATATGGATTATATGTTATGTAGTATTGCTAAACAATAAAACACTGGATAAAATCTTCACAAAGCAAAAACACTTTAATAGTCATATGAATAACTAAGAAAACTTATTTGCAACTTTAAGTAGGTAAAGCGTTAATTTACTAAATTTAAAAATATAATATCAACAAATTAGGAAGTAAAAACCCATGGGAAAAAAAAGAGACATATTATAAGAAGATGCCATCACATAAAGGAAATAAAAGCTTCTTTAGCATATTACCCTTTTATTATAGATACACTGACATATACTAAATGCTCAGATTACATAGTACCTTCTCAATAATTTCTTTTAATGTTAAGATTATGTTTATAAATAGTTTAAAAATATCCCCATCCTCCTTTAGCCTTGATCCCAATTGTTCATGTTTATTCTACTTCATATTTGGCCTATAGGCCAAAATATTTAATCCTAGTTGATTCAATAACAATCTTTTATTAAAAATTTTTATTTATTGATTTTAAAGAGAGGGGAATGGGGAGGGAAAGAGAGAGAGAGAGAAACATTGATTTGTTGTTCTACTTATTTTGGTTGATTCTTTTATGAGCCCTGACCGGGAATCGAACCTCAACCTTGGTGTATCAGGACAACGCTCTAACCAACTAAGCTACCCAGCTAGGGTCTTCTTTAAAGTTATTAAAAGGAGCTTATTCTCACTCATAAGGAATGTGTAAATTAGAATTATAATATTGATAGTAGAGATTGAAAAATTATTGTCAGCTAGCTGCATTCATCAAGGTATGAGGAGGTATTCTTATGCACTACTGGTGGCAGTATAAATTCGTAGAAAGTCCATGAAAAAAAACTGGAAATATATAATAAGCCCATCCTCTATGGAAGATGAAAGTAGATCTGTAGAGGGAATGTTCCCCCTCTCCAAGCAACAACAAATTCCCCAGAATTTATTCTACCCCACCAAGAGATTAGGTTTCTGATGTTGGTGAGGGAGCAGGATTTGCCCAGTTAATTTATATCCTGGATTTATATGGGATACAGAGTGGACAAGTGCTGAAATAGTGAAAACAGATGTAGATTTAACTGAGTTATTCTGAGAGATCTAAGTCAAATATGGTTTCATATGGTTCCTTGTATCTTCCCATCTCTGCCTTCTCAGGACTCTTCCCTTTCCAAAAGAAGAGCTCAAAAGAGAAGGTTCATCTCTTGCAAATCTCACAGCTATGCCTCAGGTGAGATGATGTTTCCTCTCTTTCTGAAAAACTCGTTTTCAGATTATATGAACATTTATTTCCCTATTCTTAAATTTCCCGGATATGAGGGTTGGCATCCGTGAAACTAGTCTCCAGTAGGGCCTAGATTGGGTGGCCTAGGTACAAAATTTAAGGAGTACTCTCAGAGCTGTGCATCCCTAAATTTTGCACCATAGCTACCTTGCCTGCCTCATCCTAGTTAGAGCCCTGTTCCCAGTTTCTCTTATTCCAACCAGATAAATTTAAGCCTTCCCCAAGTGCACTTTCTAGTTGGAACCAATGTTCACATATAGATTGAGTATATTATCATCATTTCTGTCTTCTCACAAAAGTTACTGCTGAAACAGAAATGTATTATCTTGATCTAAATGGGGATATATTACTTTAATGAATCTAGTCTAGACATGGATTTGAGATCTAAGTTGTGAGGAGTAAAGGTGCAGACATGGAAAAACCTTGATCATACCCACTGACCTAGGTTTTGCAGTTATGGATAGCATTATGAGTTTGTGGTAAGATGTCCTGTTTTGTGAGGTTTTCAGGATATAGATTTATTTGCAAGCTTATCAGAAAACTGAGATTTTGCATTTCTCCTCTTTGATCCCCTATTTTATCCATGTCTGCCAGCAATTTCTACAAACTGTGGCCTGCCAGTGAAAACATTTCTAGTATGTCAGTGCTGTTATAGATTTATTATAGTTTTTATTTCTTCTAATTTTTATATTTGGGTACAAGAGAAGGAAATGCCTATGCTAGCCCACTTTTAAAATATTCTACTTTTGAATCAAAGGTGATATAATGTCCTGTGTTCATATTGTTCTTTCAGAAGATTTATCTTCATCAACCAGTCTTTAAAATATTGGTTTTCCAAAAATGCTAATTGGTTCTCTTCTCTTCACTGTCTCTTTTTCTATATTCACAATCAAATTCACTGTAAAGGTTATATTGACCTGATTCTAGTGATTCTCAAATACCTCTCTCTCAAATACCTCTCTCTATCCTAGACCTCTATCTAGAGCAGTGGTTCTCAACCTTGGATGCACATTAGAATCACTTGGGAATCTTTTTAAAATCCTGATTTCTGGGCTTCATCCTTTGGAAGTTCTGTTTCTTTGTTATGGGGTGGGGCCGCAACATTAGTAACAAAGAAACAGAATTTCCGGAGGATGAGGCCCAGAAATCAGGATTTTAAAAAGATTCCCAGGTGATTCTAATGTGCAGCCAAGGTTGAGAACCACTGTACTAGAGTTTAACTTAGGCTTCCTACTTTACTTGTGGTTTTTGCATATTGCTTTATAATGCACCAAAAATAAACAACCGACTTCTGCGCATGGGCCACGAAGTTTCAATCGCACTGTACATGCGCACCCGCACGTGGTATTTTGTGGAAGAGCCACACTCAAGGGGCCAAAGCACTGCATGTGGCTCCAGAGCTGCGGTTTGCCGACCACTGATAGTGTCAGAACCATATATCCAACCTCCAACAGCTATCACCACCTGTATGTTCTATAGTCACTTCAAGTACATTTTCAAGGCTGACCTCATTACCTTCTTTGGTCCAGCTTATACTTTCTTCTGTTTCCCATTTCCATTTTTTAGTCCCAGCAGCTACCCATTTGCTTATGCAGGTAACTGAAGAGCTATGCCTATTTTTTCCATTCTACAACCAATTTATGACCAATTCTGTTGTAACTCATCATACCAACCAGTAGTCCCATGTCTAGACCACTAATAACACCTTAATCTAGGAGACATCTCTAACAATGGTTACCTTATTGTTTTTCTCACCTAACACATCTCAAGCCATCTCTAGTCTTCAAGAGTATTGCCTCTAAAGTACAAAAGTTATTACATATGTGTTGACGTAATGTTTCTTCATTTTCTTTATACTCCATGAAGTAGTAGGCCCAAAGTGAAGTTTTAATTATAATGGAATGTACAAGACAGTGTATTGAAAGGAAGGAAAATACTACAGTTTGCATTCAGGAGCTCTAGTCATTAACAATGTGGATTGCCATTAATGCCTACTAGTAATTGATAAATACTCATCTGTTGTGAGTGTTCTCAGTACATTTTTTAAGACTACTGATCTATTGGAAAAAAATCTAATATTATTTCATAAATATACACACTGCCTATCTCCATGTACTTTTTCCTTCTTAGAGCGCAAAGACTCTTTCTTAAAAACTGTCTTTTATATTTCCTGAATTCACTGTTTATTTTATACCCATGAATTTTAAAAGCCGATGCCCTATATTCCTACAAAACAAATGCATTGTGAACTTAAAAATTTTATGTCCTCAATGAAGCTTTGGAATACATAATGAAATTTTCCTTCACTTTGTAGCACTTTCCCTTGTTCACATTCCTATCATTGCATATGTAATATCTATTGAGTGTATAATTCAATGCCTCTCTCTTACCCTGCAACTTCTCATTATTGTGGTCAGAGTTTTATTCATTTTGGTCCACCAGGTAACCAATCACATTCAAAGCAAATAGTATGTTCTCATATATTTTTAGCATGAGATAATAAGTAAATACAGGTGAATATATTTTCAGAGAAAATGTTATGCAGTATAAAACAAAATAAGAAAACTAGTCTGACCACTGAACATGGTCAAAGGTAGATCTCCAATATCTAGTTTTCACTAGTTGCAATCACTTTAGGATGAACTAGAGTATGCCCTTACAGGGAACAGTGTCATTCAAGGATGTGACTGTGGACTTCACCCAGGAGGAGTGGCAGCAACTGGACACTGATCAGAAGGCCCTCTACAGGGATGTCATGTTGGAAAACTATTACCACCTTATCTCTGTGGGTAAGGAGAACTCCTTGAATCTTTCAGTGTCATGCATCTCCTTTCAAGAGTTTCTGAAACTTAATGGAACTTTGAATTTCAGGGAACATAGTTGGTGAATCCCTTTGTGTTAGCAGAAAGTCTGGTATGTTCTCACTTGCTTAGTGCAAGGTGTTAACTTTGGTAAGATGTTAATGTATACCTTGTCTGCTGCCTTGAAGATATATCTTTCTCTTCCTTTAATTATTTTGAAGCCCAAGGAGATTAGGTTAAGTCTCATTTTTGAAAAGTTTATTGAATTTATTGGGGTGACATTGGTTAATACAATTATATAGGTTTTAGGTATACAATTCTATAGTACATCATCTGTATCTTATATTGTTTGTTCACCATCCCAAGTTAAGTTTCCTTCCATCACCATTTAATCTCCCCTTTACCTTCTTCTGCCTCTTCCCATCCCACTTTCCCTCTTGTAATCACCATACTGTTATCTGTGTCTTTGAGTGTTTTTCTTTGGTTAATCCCTTCACCTTTTTCACCCAGCCCCAAACCCCTTTCCATTTAACAGTTGTCAGTTTGTTCTCCATATCTGTGAGTCTATTTCTATTTTGTTAGTTTATTTTGTTTGTTAGAGTCCATATATAAGTGAAATCATATGGTACTTGTCTTTCTCTGACTGGCTTATTTCACTTAGTATAATATTCTCCAGGTCCATCTATGCTGTTGCAAAAATATAAGATTTCCTTTTTTTTTTTTACAGCTGAGTAGTATTCCATTGTGTAGATGTACCACAGCTTTTTTATCCACTCATCTACTGATGAGCACTTGGGCTGCTTTCAGATCTTGACTATCTACACTAATAAAAGAGAAAAATGCAAATTGGTCATCACTCTGCTACACCCACCAGCCAATCAGGGCGAGTATGCAAATTAACCCAACAAAGATGGCAGCGGCCATGGAGCTGGAGTGAGCATGAGGCTTGGGTTGCCTCTGGCGACAGAGGAAGCCAAGCTTCCTGCCCGCCCTGGCTGCCGCTGAAGGAGGGGCTGGGGGCCTGGGTCGCCGGGGGCAACCCAGGCTTCCAGCTAGCTGGCCCTGGCCTCTACTCAAGGAGGGGCTGGGGGCCTGGGTCGCCGGGGG